AAAAAAAAAAAAAAAAAGAAACCATAGCACTAAGTCATGAAGCTAGCTAGCCTCAGCAAAGGATTCAATCAACATTCTCGCATCAGTTAATGCAATTGATAAAAGAAAAATAACCAGAAAAGCCTTTTCAGTTTGGAAATTTCAACACTTCAAAAAAACGATTCATGGGTTACAAGAGAAGTCATAAAAAAATTATGAAATTTGTAGAGTCGAATAAAAACAAAAATTATGCATCAGAATGTTTTGGATAGATGTAAAACTGCAGCCACTTTGAAAAAGTTTGGCAGTTCCTCTGAAAGGTGAGCATAAAATTACTTTATGACTCACTCCAAGGTATATACCCGAGAGAACTGAAAACATGTTCACACAAAAACTTGTACACAAACGTTCACAGCAGCATTAATAGTAGCCAAAAAGTGGAAACACCTCACATCTCCATCAACTGTTGAAAGGATAAACAACATGTGGTGTGTGCGTATAATGGAACGCTATTGAGCCATAAAAAAGAAAACTTGACTGCATACCTGCACTGGGCTTTTCCTCTGCGGGTCCCACCATTGGTCCTGGTGTGTGGCACACCTTGGGATAGGCAGCAACAGCAGAGTGTGGAAACAAAATGACCTTCTGTTGGAACAAGTGCAGAACAGGTTACTCAGTTCAGCAACAAGCAAGCTATGAAGAAGCTGAAATTTGCAGAATGCCTAGAAAAAAGGCAGGCACAAGCAAAGTAAATTTGAAGGTTAATAAAGCCTTGGATAATAAAAGGAGGAATGGAAATCCTTGGATCTGAAGAGGATGTTATGATTAAATTTATATTCAACAGGCTAGAAATGAAGGCATGAACCAAAATAAAAGTTATACCTTGCATCTGAGGTATAGCATCATCACCTTATTAGGTCACAGCAGCATGAGTGTCCCAAAGTCATTCTAACCCAATTCCCTTGTGGGTGTTTGGAGAATCCAGACTCCAAAATTATGCAAAGCAACCTGACTGGCTTTTGAACAGAAAAAATACTAGAGAATTTGTGGAACAACTGTGATCCCTGCTATGAGCACAAGAAAACATTACTGGAATCTCTTCTGCTTTCTTAAAATGAAGAAACAAGAAATAAAACAGAGACAGATTGAACAGAAAAACTGGTATCTATGAAAAAGCAAGACAAAGACAAAGATAAGAGGGAAAAGGAAGAAAAAAGAAAGTAGCAGAGAAAGCTTGAGCCCAAGAAGATGCAAATCCAGATCTTCCCCTAGAAGATGATCCTACCCTGTCAGGAGAAAGAGAAAGCAGTCATTTTCAATCTCCCCATCGTGGAACCAATAGCCAGAGTCCTTCCCCAGCTGCAGGAAAGGAGAATACTCCAGTGCTTCCAGAACCTTTAGTAAAAGTAAAAGAACCCTCAGTACAAAAGGCCACTTCTACTAGTGACATCTGAAAGTTCTGTCAAGAGACAAAATTACAATAAGTTTAAAGATCTCGGTTGGCTTTATTTGCAATTCTACAATCAGGCAACTCTTCATTCCATAAAATAGAATAATTGTTTCAATGAGCTGGGCAGAAGAGGTTGGTTTAATAGAGAAGAACTGAAGAAAGCAGAAACAAAGAACGGAAAGG